CACGCTGGCCCCATCCGAATGAAACCTGACCGGAAAGTACTATATCTGCCCAACCACGTGGCAGGCCAAACTGTATCGTTGCGCATCTCTGGACGGGATTCAGACTTAGAGGCGTTCAGTCTTAATCCCTCAGATGGTAGCTTCGCACCATTGGCCGCTCGACCAGGCACATGTACCAAATGTCTGAACCTGCGGTTCCTCTCGTACTAAACAGGATTACCATTGCAACGACCAGATTGTANAGCCCTCTACTGCTGCAATCAACACTATAAGGCCCAGGCAACCCTGTACTGGCGCAATCAACACTGTAAGGCCCAGGCGGCCCTGTACTGGAGCAGTCAACACTCTAAGGCCCAGGCAGCCCTGTACTGGAGCAGTCAACACTGTAAGGCCCAGGCAACCCTGTACTGGCGCAATCAACACTCTAAGGCCCAGGCAGCCCTGTAAGCCTTGTACTGGTGCAATCAACACCTTTCCCTCTGGGCTTCAAGAACATCTTTCCAAAACCACAGTGTCTGGCTTTCACACGCACATTACGGCCCACTTTCTTATTCTGGTACATTATCGCACATATGCATCCCCACGCAAGCCATCGCACCATTTATAATTAATGGCGCTAATAGCCGAAGCGTCAATGTATATAAGGGGACACACATGTGCGTGTATGCCAAAAGGCAGATAGAGATAATGACAACAAGAACAAGAAGAACAGCATGAATGGGGCTCCAAGGCCTCAAATCATTACGTCGGGTAGGGATAGGACTCAATACCTCGCAGTGTGATAGCTGCTCGAATACTCACGTCTCCCCGACAAAACATTAAGTCGTCTACAAACGATTTAGTGCCGCCACGCTCATACCACAATTGGATATCATGTCGACCTCCACAACACCATGGCCCGGTGCATGTGGTTATGGTCACAGCTCTGGCATTACATTACCAGACCGACCAGGTTCAGTGTGGCACGCTGGCCCCATCCGAATGAAACCTGACCGGAAAGTACTATATCTGCCCAACCACGTGGCAGGCCAAACTGTATCGTTGCGCATCTCTGGACGGGATTCAGACTTAGAGGCGTTCAGTCTTAATCCCTCAGATGGTAGCTTCGCACCATTGGCCGCTCGACCAGGCACATGTACCAAATGTCTGAACCTGCGGTTCCTCTCGTACTAAACAGGATTACCATTGCAACGACCAGATTGTACTTNCTCCCACTTATTACTACACCCGCCATGTCTCTTCACAGAGTCGGACTAGAGTCAAGCTCAACAGGGTCTTCTTTCCCCGCTGATTCTGCCAAGCCCGTTCCCTTGGCTGTGGTTTCGCTAGATAGTAGATAGGGACAGTAGAAATCTCGTTAATCCACTCATGCGCGTCACTAATTAGATGACGAGACATTTGGCTATGAAGTGTTTATTATACTCCAACTGAAAGTACATTTTGAGCAGGTCATGCCCCAGAAAAGCAAGCATTGCATGATCTTGTAAGACAGTGTTCCAGAGCAGTTTTTAAGTTGGCAACTTCTGGTTTCGCCTATTCAGCCGTTCTCTGCACTGCCGGCTCCGCGTACATAGACCCCATAGGCCTTCAGAGAGCCTCATATCACAGTCAGACATAAATCCGATAGATCAAACGTGGACAATCCTAGAAGCCGCAGCCTAGCTTCACTGTGTGGTGATATGCTGCCTCGAGAGGAGAACATGTCGGGCACATGTAGGATTGGAATGTCTGCTGGTTTCCCGAGGATCCGCCGTAGATTCCCCTCGACCTCCACTGTGGAATACCGTCGGATCTTCCCAGCGTAGACCGTGTCCATCAATTCTTCCCCAGTAACGGATACGTCCACCACCGTGAGAGCGTCCTCGGCGCACACCACACTGTCCGACATCTTGAACGTTTGCCCCTCAGGAATGTGGGGTTCAATCAGCACCTTATGTCCACGACCAGCAAGCTTGGAGACCAGTAACTTCATAGTCAAGTTGTGCCGCCACACTCGGGTCTGGTGCGTTATCTGACAGCACTGGAGTATATGGAAGCGATTCTCCCTTTGGCCGCACTGCCCTCGACAGAGAATATCTGTCAATGTGCAAATCGCTTTTAGACAATCGACACGAAACTTTTATATCTTTTGGCCATATTTAACTGGACGTAATTTCACCTGAGCGACAAGCCTCATTCACTGACTTCGTCTCGTTTTTTACCTGGCACATTCACCCTACGGCCAACGATTGTGGAGAAGGCTTTATTTGTCGTGAGTCTGTACAATTATTTACCTTTTGTCTTTTTTCTTATACTCATTTTGCTATCGTTATTTTTCTTGTAAGAAATGTAGTATACCCCACTTAGAGTTAGATATTTATTTTTATTTTTAGTTTAATTGCTGTTTACACTACAACTCCTACAGGGATTGGATGGTCTGGCCAATGGCCTCTCCCTTGCCGGTATGGTCCTTAACTCGGCCAAGTGCGTCTCCTTCTACTTACAAGCGCTTGGAAAAGAAAAGAGTACATGCCTCCAGCCGTGCGATGTTTCAATCGGGGGGATGGTGTTGCGCTCGTTAGGGCCGACGGACACCTTCGATTATTTGGGGGAGCCCTTTTCCTACCGCGGAAAGGTAGCAGTAGGCCACCGTCCGGTCCTCCACAACATGTTGGAGGAGATAACACGAGCACCTCTTAAACCGCAGCAGAGACTTACACTTCTTAAGCGTCATTGCGTGCTAAAAGTTTTGCACCAGCTGGTACTGGGAGCAGTGCATCGCAACACACTGAAACGACTGGATGTACAAGTACGACAGGCGGTACGGAAATGGTTAAAGCTCCCAGCGGACACGCCGATTTCCTTCTTACACGCTGCTATTCGAGACGGGGTCCTTGGTGTCCCATGCTTGGCAGTTCTCGTTCCTTTTGTTAAGCGCCGACGACTGGACTCAGTGCTCTCCTCAAAAGAGCCTGCAGTACGAGCAGCTGCCGCTGTCCCTTCTGCCTTCTCTTGTATGCAGCTAGCAGCTCAACCGGTGCGTCTGGGCCAATCGGTCTTGGATTTCCTCTCCGGACCGAGTCTTTCCATGGCGCTTCTTGCGTGACATCCACCTTCGGGCGGGTGTTCTCTCTACCAAGTCCCGCAAATCTCGGAGAACCGGCTCTGAGGAGTGTTGCGACATAATTTGGTCATGAAGCTACTAGCAGAGCGTTTGATGAGCGATGGACGAGACCTGTTGATTGAGCCCCATGTCCCTGAGGGCAATTCATTCTGCAAACCAGACATCGTCATGAGCACCGAGAATTCAATAACGGTGATTGACGTGGCCGTAGCGGGAGAGGACATAATGGACCGAGTCTACGCTGGTAAAGACCGACGCTACTCAGCGGAGGAAGTCGAGGTGAACCTTCGGAGGATCCTGACGAAACCAGCCAATACTCCCGTGTCTCACATACCAGCAGTCTTCTCAGCGCGCGGAACTATTTCTTCCCGTAGCGAAAGTCTTCTACGATCCCTTGGATTATCTACGTTCGACCTGTCAGACTTATGCTTGGCAGTGATTCGAGGATCTCTGAAGGCTTACGATGTCTATGCCCGTGGAGCTGGCGGTGTTGCGGATAACCGACGCGAAGGAACCCGGGAACCATATGAAGCTGGTGTCGGTGACGAAAACTAGTGGATAAACTGGCCCTGGAGAACACCAGAATGACGTCCAAACAATACTTATCCTGCCCCAGGGATGCCTAACAGACTGCTCTTCCAAAACCTTGTAGCAACATGCTGGCTCTTTCTGGGGCAAGATCTGCCCATCGTGTAATTTCATTTTCAGCATAATAAATAATTACTAGCCAAATGCCTCGTCATCTAATTAGTGACGCGCATGAATGGATTAACGAGATTCTTACTGTCCCTATCTACTATCTAGCGAAACCACGCCGCGGCCGCTAGCAAGAGCGCCACCTCTCCTAACCACTCTTCTATCCTCCTCCTATTCTCGCACCTCCACCTATATCCTTGACGCTGAGGTTCGATGCCAACGCGATGTCCGCCAAGGCAACCCTCTCTCCCCTCTCCTCTTCAACTGCGCTCTCTCTGAAGCCCTCTCCTACTCCGACCGGCAGTTGGGCTTTGATCTGGCTGGGACGACGGTGGATTCGATTGCGTATGCAGACGACCTCGTCCTATTCGCTGAATCACCTCACCGTTTGCAGCAGAGACTGGATGGTCTGGCCAATGGCCTCTCCCTTGCTGGTATGGTCCTCAACTCGGCCAAGTGCGTGTCGTTCTACGTTCAAGCGCTTGGAAAGGAGAAGAGTGCATGCCTCTGCCCGTGCGAAGTATCAATCAGGAGGAGTGTCTTGCGCTCGTTAGGGCCAAGGAACACTTTCAAGTATTTGAGGGTGCCCTTCTCATACCGCGGGAAGGTGACGGTAGGTCATCGTTCGGTCCTGTCTGACATGCTGGATGAAATAACGAGAGCACCACTGAAGCCGCAGCAGCGTATTGCACTTCTGAAGCGCCACTGCGTGCCAAAGCTCCTACACGAACTAGTTCTTGGGACGGCCCACCGGAACACCTAGAAGAGACTCGATACCCAAGTAAGACAGAGCGTCCGCCGGTGGCTGAAGCTTCCTGCAGACACGCCGGTTTCCTTCTTCCATGCGCCTGTCGCTGATGGGGGTCTTGGTGTTCCCTGCTTGACAGTTCTTGTCCTCTTCGCTAAACGCCGTCGCCTGGACTCCGTTCTCAGTTCAACTGAGCCTGTTGTGCGAGCAGCTGCCACAGTGCCATCTGCACTTCCCGGCCTGAGGTTAGCAGCTCAACCAGTGCGAATGGGCCATTCGGTCCTGGCCAGCAAGGAAGACGCGCGGAACTATTGGAGAACTGTATTGTACAACTCTGCAGATGGCCGTCCGCTTGCCCAATTTGCTAAGTCAGCCTGCGCCAGTCACGGGCTCTCCTCTCCTGTTCGGGTATTCCCGTGGCTTTATATTCGAGGCTGAGTAACGTCGGTGATCTTAACCAGCGTAGACTCCGTCCATTATGTCCTCTCGCGCTACGGCCACATCAATCACCGTTATTGAATTCTCCGTGCTCGTGACGATGTCCGGTTTGCAGAAGGAGTTGCCCTCGGGGACGTGGGGCTCAATCAAGAGGTCTCGTCCATCGCTCATCAAACGCCCTGCTAGTAGCTTCATGACCAAATTATGTTGCAACACGGGGGCATGATGCGTTACTTGACAGCACTGGAGTATGTGGAATAAGGTCTCACGTTGGCCACACTGGCCTCGACACAATACATCCTCAGAGCCGGTTCTCCGGGATTTGCGGGATTTGGTAGAGAGAATACCCGCCCGAAAGTGGATGCCACGCAAGAAGAGCCATGGAAAGACTCGGTCCGGAGAGGAAAGCCAATGATTGGCACTGGTAGATTCAGCAAAGTGAGCGAGCGGTCGACCGTCCGCGGAAGCATAGAGAGAAGTCCTCCAGTAGTTCCTTGCGTCCTCTTTACTTGCCAGGACCGATTGGCTCAGACGCACCGGTTGAGCTGCTAGCTGCATACAAGAGAAGGCAGAAGGGACAGCGGCAGCTGCTCGTACTGCAGGCTCTTTTGGGGAGAGCACTGAATCTGGTCGTCGGCGGCTAACAAAAGGAACGTGAACTGCCAAGCATGGGACACCAAGGACCCCGTCTCGAGTAGCAGTGTGCAAGAAAGAGATTGGCGTGTCCGCCGGGAGCTTCAGCCACTTCCGTACCGCCTGTCGTACTTGTAAATCCAATCGTTTCAGAGTGTTGCGATGCACTGCTCCAAGTACCAACTGGTGCAAAACTTTTAGCACGCAATGACGCTTAAGAAGTGTAAGTCTCTGCTGCGGCTTAAGAGGTGGTCCGGTGATCTCCTCCAGCATTTTGTGAAGGACAGGACGGTGGCCTACTGCCACCTTTCCGCGGTAGGAAAAGGGCTCCCCCAAATAATCGAAGGTGTCCGTCGGCCCTAACGAGCGCAACACCATCCCCCCGATTGAAACATCGCACGGCTGGAGGCATGTACTCTTTTCTTTTCCAAGCGCTTGTAAGTAGAAGGAGACGCACTTGGCCGAGTTAAGGACCATACCGGCAAGGGAGAGGCCATTGGCCAGACCATCCAATCCCTGTAGGAGTTGTAGTGTAAACAGCAATAAAACTAAAAATAAAAATAAATATCTAACTCGAGCTAGATATTTATTTTTATTTATGGTGTAATTGCTGTTTACACTACAACTTAGGTCTAAGTGGGGTATACTACATTTCTTACATAAAAATAGCGATAGCAAAATGAGTATAAGAAGAACGACAAAAGGTAAATAATTGTACAGACTCACGACAAATAAAGCCTTCTCCACAATCGTTGGCCGTAGGGTGAATGTGCCGGGTAAAATACGAGACGAAGTCTGTGAATGAGGCTTGTCGCTTAGGTGAAATTACGTCCAGTTAAATATGGCCAAAACATATAAAAGTTTCGTGTCGACTGACTAAAGGCGATTGATGCAAATGGGTGCAATGAACGAAGCAATGACACTAAGCACCGACGGACACAGAAGTCAGGTTTTTTCACAAGTCGAAACCATGTGTGTGTATTTTAGTTGGTTTAAACAACGGTACAGAAACTTTTAGGTATACAAGAAGGTTTAGATTGAAAAATCGAAAATGTGCGTCATCCTGCAGAGTCGATGAGGTGATTCGGCAAAAAGCACGATATCATCTGCATATGAAACGCAGTCCACTGTTACTCCATCCAGCTCGAGGCCAAGCTGTCGATGAGAATGGGAAATAGCTTCACTAAGTGCACAGGAGAAGAGAAGCGATGAGAGGGGGTCTCCTTGGCGGACAACAGGCAGGCATCGGACCTCAGTGTCAAGCATATAGGTAGTAGTTCTGGAGTCGGAGATATTTAGGGGATTAAGAATTAGAGGTGGCGCTCCGTGTACGGCGGCGGCTCGCAAGCGCGTGTCATGGTTCACGGAATCAAAGGCCTTCGCAACATCTTACACGGCCACAGCAATGGATCTTGGAGCAGAGACCGCATGCCGTAACATTCCATGAAGTGAAGCCGTCGCCTCTGCCGTTCCATCCCGCTCCTGGAAACCAAACTGGAAGTGGGCGGTGGACAGAGGCGTGACCAACTGTCAGCAGTAATACGGTTTAGTAAACGAGGGATAATGTTGGAGACTGCTATAGGGCGGTACTCCGAAGGAAGATGAGGACGCTGAACCTTGGGGATCAAGGCGGATCTGCTAAAGCAATGTTGGGTTGGGAGATGGCCAATCGCTAGAATCACGTTGAAAAAACCAGCAAAGCCAGCCGGCGGACAGAGCAGCAGATCTTTCGCAAACAGACCATCAATGCCCGACGCTGAACCCTGCATTAGGCAGAGATTTCGAGAAACCTCAGTCGGGCTGATAGGACGGATGATATCCCAAGCAACATTATGTGGATTTGGAGTAGGCCGCAGGTCCGGATCACTGGGGCGCAACAGAGCTCCCGCCACAAGTCTAGCATTCCAGCTGGCAACGGTGGATCTGGAAAAGGGGCAATGCGCCAGCCACCCGAAAATATGCACTGGACTCCGGCCTTGTGAATATAGCGAGACGAGCTAGCAAATCCGCCTAATGAGCTCGGCGTTACCTGAGGCTGCAGCTGGGGCGCGCAGCTGCGAAAGGCTGTCGGAATAATCCCGGACTAAATCACTTCGGAAACAGAACAGTCGCATGCGAGACAAATAGCACAGCAGCTTCGGGTAACCTTACGCGGTTTACCCGCGCTTGGTTGAATTTCTTCACTTTGACATTCAGAGCACTGGGCAGAAATCACATTGCGTCAAAACCGATCAGCAGACATCGCAATGCTTTGTTTTAATTAGAAAGTCGGATTCCCCGAGTCCACGCTAGCGCACCCCGCAAATGTTGGCATTTGTTATTGCGCAAAGATAACGCCTGCCCCCGTGTTGGACCCGTTTTGAGGGACAAACACACACACACAGGCACGGCCGAAGCCACACCTGGGCAATCAGCAACCTTCCTATCAACGACGCTTGACGTGTCGGGATAGCCTCGGACTCAAGTCACCCGTGCAGCCGAGGCCGCATGGGGACCGAGTCGAGATGCGGACTTCCCACTTGCGTGGAAGGTGGCATTTGGGTGCATGAGGTGTGTGACTGTTGACTTCTGGTGGGGTGATTGTGGTGGTGGAGGAGGAGGTAGGGGATGAATGAATGTGTGGTGTGGCCGACGGTTGTCTACCGCAGGTCGTCGTGGAAGCGCATGTGGCCGAATAGGCTCATGCGATGCCTGAAAGCGCGAGGACAGTGTGGGAAGTTGGTGGGTATAGGTGGGTGCTCCTGGCACTGGTTCGCCAGTTTCTGTGCGATGGATTCGCAAGTGACCGACCAGGCCAATGCGTGAGGTGAATGTGCATGGGATTCGGTGGTGTCAGTGTCAGAGACAGAGGAGGAGGCGGTGGTGGTGGTGTCCCGGACGGATGGAACGAGATTGGGGGTGTGCACGGTGGATGTGTTGGATTTAGTGGGTTTGATGGGAGTGCGGTCAAGGCCGCTCTCGTGGATGCGCATGTGGCCGAAATGTCCCATGCGAAGCTTGAAGGTGCGAGGGCAGTGTGGGCAGTGGAGGCGAGTGCGGTGGGTGTAGGTTGGTGCTCCAGGCACTGGTTCGCCGGTCTCTGTGCGATGAATTCGCAAGTGAGCGACCAGGCCGATGCGGGAAGTGAAGGTGCGATCGCAGTGAGGGCAGGTCAGTCAGTCAGTCAGTGTATTTGAAGGAAATAGGCTTACGCCTTTGAACTCCCTATTTGTACAGAAAAAATCGAAAAACAAGCAAAAATGTGAAGAAATTACAGCATTAAGTGAATGCATACATTGATTCACATATGTCA